TTACGAATAAATAATAAAAAATTTCTTTCTATTATTTGAAAAAAAATAAAGTTATAAAAAAAATTTTATAATTATCTAAATTATCCTGAATTATATTAAATCGATCTAAAAATGTAATTATAATTAAAATTTTAAACAAATGGCCTGAATCCTAATTCTAAAACAATCACCAACCCAAAAATCTTTGAACCAAATTATATGATTAATCAAATTCATACCATAATTTTTTAAAATTAATAACCAATAAAATATTTTTTAAAAAATAAAAAATAAAATAAAAAATTAGTTATAGATCACAACTTTCTTTCATTTCCTTATGCTATTTATAAAAAAAAAGTTGAATATTTGTGAGAAAATTCAAGTATGAAAATGAATTATTTTTTCTATGATTTTCCTTTTCATGTTAACCAAACACATTAAAATTTTTAAAAGTTTCTCTTTTTTGCATCTTTTATGATTCTCCTCCTAAACAAACGAATTTTACGAAAAAAAATTAATGTCAAGACATAAACAAAATAGATAGTGAAGCAAATAGAGGACTTGAAATTATTTTAAACATATCTTTGACTTCCATTCAATTTTTTGAATATTAATACTTTCGTTAACATATAAAAAGTCATTAGACCCGGACCGAGCTCTAAGTGAACAAATGAATAGACGTCATGAGAAAAAACCACCCTACCGGTGCATATGTAAACAATTTACAGTAATGATCTGGTATGACTCCGAGCAAGACATGGAGAAAAGGAATATAACGTTAAAGAGGGTAAAAATAAGTCACTCTTTTTTTTCTTATTATATTTTATCCTTTCGGTTAACAACTTAACATATTACAGGTCATTGAACCTAAGGTTCTCCCGCATTGAATCCCAAAAGAACAAGCAATGTCTAGCGTGTTTCATTTCAACATTATTAAGCCTAAGGCTAAGCATTCCTTTTTGTTGGTAGAGGACTGTATATGAACTCAGAATCTGATTCTATAACGGGTTTCAGAGACCGTGTGTGAGAGAGTGTGTGTGTTGACAAATGAAAGAATGTAAATGGGGCACATCACTTTATAAAGTATTGATTCAAAGAACATTGGTAAAACTAAGCATTTGAGATTGAGGTTCTAGAAGATCTAAAAGGGTACTGGTTTGAATATGTGAAATCATCTATTTTGGTTAAAAATTGCTTTATAGGGAAAGGATAATAAATGTAGTGAGGCAGCAACTTATTTCCAAAGATAAGTGAAGAAAACCTACGGTGGATTAATGCAACTCTATGTTCAGTGAGGAGGAAATTATAATAAAAAAAAATGTTAAGAAAACAAGTGTTTATGTTTGCTGGGCAAAAGGAGGATTTTTAAAATACACAAACCAACACACAGATGCACGTGTATGGACTATGGAACGAAAGGTAAACTTTGGATACCTAGTCTGGTCATGTCGCTCTTCATGCTTCTATGCATCTGTTTGGAACAAAAGAACACAAATAACAAAAAGCGAGAGAAGATCAGAGAAAATAAAAAATAAAATAAAAAAACCCAAAAAAGAACAATTTATGAAGAGGAATAATTAGAGTAAGAATTGTTTTGCCGGAAATTTGAACCGTAAGTTACCAAAAGAGAGAAAAAAAAGTCCAGAACACAAGATAATGAAAGGAAAATCCGAACTTGGAGATGGCTTTTGATATGCGAAATGGTGATTCCTCTAAATATTTATCAACTGAAGAACAAGCTTGGGTGTAGCTTCTACAAAATAGAAAACAAAAACACACATCCATTTGTTTAAATTACAACGGGGAAAAGGAAATAATCCAAACGGAAGCATGAATGAATTAAGAAAAACTCTGTGGGATTGTATAAGAGAAGAGAAAATAATAGCACAATGACCAAGAGCAAAAGAGAGGTTTTTGATTGAGAGAAACGAATAGATCGACCAAAACAAAAGAGCAACCTAGCAAAGCCTTAAACAGAAACATTAAGAACTTACCGTGTTGCCCTCCAAGCCTCTTGATGGCATGTACGAAACAGTGATGTAGATCAGGTGTCCATCGCAATCTAGGCACCTTTGATCTTACATACTGCCTCATAGCTCCATTCCTCTCACTACCACCCATTTTCCTCTATCTTCCTCCCTATGTTCCTAGCCAAAATCACCTCAAATCCAACTGGTTTCTCGAAAACCCCTCCTTTTCTCCTCTCGAGTCTTTGATGATGTTTTACCACCTTTTCTCGTCATATTGAAGTTTTATCAATTCAAACACATTCATTTATAGACTTTTTTTTTTCGCTCTAACAACAATAAATATATAAGGAAGAGTATCACCTAAAACAGCAACAATATGAAAATTCTGCACAAGAGGTTTTGAAATTGAATGTCCTCGTTGAGAAAGAGAGAGTGTGTGTTAATTTTTACGGTATAGCAGCCAAAAAGTAGATTAGAAACTTAGAGTCGAAACGGTGAAAAAGTGACAACCGGTGAATTATTGTAACTCTGATTCGGTGATAAATGAGTGATTTTTAGTGAAAAAATGAAAAGACAGATGATTTGTACAAGAGGACAGAGAGCCCGGGGGTTAAGTAGTCCGCGTAAAGAGCTGGGTGCTAGAAATGATGGCGCGGTTGAGTAACAAAGCGGTCCAGGGCCTGCTTGCTGGCAACTTTGACAAATGGAGGTGGGTGCAGTAAATGGCTCATACCTGCAGGTACTGCTACAGTTTACAAATCAAAGGGAGCAAGCAACCACCAGGTAAATTACATGGAATTTTTTTTTTTTTTGTCAGGGAAAACAAGGACACCAGGTAAAGCTATGCTATGTATCAAATGCAACAGCTGTGACGACATGCATCTTTGGTAAAATTCATTAAATAATTGGATTGAAACTTTTTAATTGAATTTGTTAGTATTAAAATTCAATTCAAATTCAATTCATTCCAACTTTCAAATCTTTTTAATTGAACTTGTAAGTGTTAAATCTTGATTTCATCCTTTATAGGAGTGTTCATTTTATCTTACAAGTAAAAATTATGATGTTTCATCTTTTTATTTGATAATTTGAGAAAAAAAAAATTAATTGACTCTATCCAATCAAGTGTATAATTTATGATTTGCCATAAATCTATAAATCTCATATGTTTGTATCCATCTACCAGATATGGGATTGAATAAAATTTTTTTTTATCCCATATACAAATCTTTGGGCTGACTTCGGAGAAACTTCTTAAACCCAACCTAAACCCAAAAAAGTAAAGATTCAAACATGCCCTAAGTGTCACGTTTACAGTCTACAGAGGAACTGAAACACCCAAAGGGAGTCATTCCAGCAGACCCCTGCAGAAAATTATTCAAAGTTATAGCTGTATGCACTTTGGAATTACTTTGGAATTGAAGAAATACAGCTTGCCTCCGCCGACCAGTTAATGTTCTGGAACACTGTGCCAAAGATAGACAAGACATAGTTACAACTTAAAATTGGATAGCTAAAAACAATTAAATCCAACAAAATAATACATTCTTTGCTGTTAAATATTCGTCGTTTAAAATTTTTATACCAGAATTAAAGAAATTATTAAATAACTCTAATATGTGTAAAAAAATAATTATACAAGATTAAAATACTTTTATTCAATATGTATTAAAAAAAAAGAATATAAAATACACTTAACCTATATTTAATCTATTAAGTATTTATTGAAAAATAGAGATAAGGATAAATTTAAAAAAAAAAAATATTTATTATACTTTAATTTTATAAAACGACAAATATTATAGAATAAAAAATTATGTAAAGCAACGTATATTTAATATAATTTGTGCACATGGTCCAACGAAACCCTGCCAGCTGCGAAAAGAAAGTCATTTGATCAAAAGTAATCGGCGGCAACAGCTTTTGCAGTCCACCAAGTCCAAGAAAAGCAAGGGCACGCGCCTAACATGATTTGTGGCCCACACGTCGTCTACCCTACACCTTCACGGGCACCAGCGAAGATCCATGGGATTAATTCATAAATTTACACGTTTTGTAATAGCTCTAGTACTTCTCCATATAGCTTCTTCATATTTGGTTTAACTCCAAGCTCAGAGCCATGGCAGTGGCAATAAACAGTTGCAACTTATTGAAAACCAACCTCAGATGTAACATTTTCAAACCACACCCTCTGAAACAAAAACCCAAGAAACAAGCCCCAAAAAACAACCCAACCTCCACAACGGAGAGGCAGTCAAGAACTACTCCTACCAACCGGCTCAAGTCTGACGGCCAAATCCACCAATCACGCCATTGAAACTTTGAACAACTCAAAACTTCAGTCTCCATAAACTACTTAAAATCATAAAACTATATATTCAAATACAATTAAACGTTGATATGAGCATGAACCACGAAACCCCAAGAGTAAGTAAGAGAAAAATAATTCATTCAAGAGAAGCTACAATGGTACACAGAAGAGAGAAAAACAAAAATAAATCATGTGAGAAGATTTGTTGGAAGGTGGAGAGAGAAAAAAGTTTGGAAGAGAAGAAAGAAAACAGCGTTATATTTGTCATTCCAATATGTCAATTTCTTGCCATTATCCGACTATTTACTAAAGTGGCTGTTTTTAATTGGTGCTAAATACCAAATATGTATATACCAACTGTTGATATGTAATCTGTAATTCAATTTTTTGTCAAAAAAAAATCAGTAACTCAATTTAAATAAATCTAAAAATTATGAAATAAATGGAGAAAAATAAAAATATTGCACGAACCAATATGCACTCTGTGAAAGGGCAATATGAAAAAAAAATATACATATATGATTTACTAGATGAATCCTACATATGGTGAGTGTAAAAATATGCTCATATTGGTTTCACCGAAATAAAGATGCATAATTAGTAGACCTAATTTATTTTCAAATGAATTAAAGAAAATAATCTTAGATGGGTTACAACAATTGGTATAAACTAGTTCGAGTCAAGGGGTTAATCTGTTTGAAAATATTTGATGTAAAAAAATTAAATATATAACCACAATTCTGTTTCTATAGTTTTATTCGTACAGATCTAACCAACTAATGTACAAAATACAATCAGAGTAACACCAGGGTGCAAAGCTATGCTATGTATCAGATGCAGCAGCTGCAACGACATGCATGCATTGACGTAAAATTAACACCTGGGTAACTTCAGCAACAGAAAATCTTTGTATTCTCTTCTGGCATCATGCACAAAAAAATGAAGTCATCCTCAACAACGGCTCAATAAATAATCAGATTGATGTCTTGTAACAAATCCTTGAAGCAGATATACATGTGTTCGCCCTCTCCCAGCGAAAAAATGAAGGAATCACAATCCGATTAAGAGGTTAGCAGCTACATCTGCACACAAAATTGCAGGAACGGAAACACATCCAAAACCCATGCTTCAGGGGCCCGGGGCACATCATGTCACGGGTGGTGATCTTGAATCCTCTGTTTTGTTCATGTGGCACATGCAATCTGGACATGGGAATGAGTATATGGAGTCATTTGGTCTTTTGAGTGCAATTCCTTTTGAATCACTATGAGCCCGCATACTCAGCATTTGCCGCTTGAAGCTTTTCCACCTGCAACAAACCCCGCAAAAAAATGATTGAACAAACAAAACCAACTATCCTTCGAACATATAACATTCTGAAGAAACGATATCACTACAAACAGAAGTTAGTATCCAGGCATATGAAATGTCATAAAAATAACGACATCATTGTTCATGCGCAAAAAGCACTTGAATCATGCGTCGTGGTTCGCTTGCTCAAATTTTAGATACACCTAAAATTAAGTATTGTTCATTATGGTTTGTCATGTTCTGCCATGCCAAAGACAGCGGGGAAGCAGCAAAATTCTTTACTCTGACATATTTGAATATTCTAAGAAACCTAATTGTAAATGACCAGTATTTGAATATACTTCTCCATAGTGTATTAATGATCGTTTAACAGCCAGTCTTATTCCAACCCAAGCTAGATATGGGATTGGGACCAATTCACAAACCCATCTGCTCCATGTGTTTCAATCGTGTCAAATTTTGTTATATTTTAGTCATATTCTGGTCCGTTAAAACTAGAGTGCTGATCAACTGAACAACATGAAACTATATCTACGAGATGAATGCATACCCAATATTGGGATTGGCAAATATTACAGCTAGCTTTCGCTTGTCAGGCCTGATGGTTTTTGAGTGTCCACCGTACATATATCTTCTGTGGCCCAACAAAAAATGAGGGAAGTTTCCACCTTGAGTTGTCACAAATACTTCACTATGAAGACAAACAGTGTAGTCTATGGCAGCCATCCTGGAAGAGTAGTTCTACATGCAGTAAATTGAGTCAGAGCATTGTCTTCAATCAGATACCACAATGGTTGTAAATTTGGGAGAAAACTAACAAAGTATTCAAACCTTAAAAGGAGCTAACTCCTCCGGCGATGCCAGCATCTCTTTTGTTTGTAAAAGGGGAAACATTTCAACTAGTGGAGCCATATATCTCTCAGAGTCGTATATCATTCCAGATGCTAAATAGATGGATGTGCTTTTATCGAACCCCATTCCTCTCAGCATCAAACCAACCTGATGACATACAAGAAAACAGTCTAAACCAGCAATAGAGCCTACGTATAAAATCACTCTAACACAACCCAATTATTTGTCTGATTGTTTTGTGAGGCATGACAAACAAATAATTGAACTGAAGTTGTAGCACAAAACAAGAAATCCAACACATCCTAGAGGACTTACAATAAATGTGTACCATTGTTACTGCAGCCAGAAGCTGAAACAATTTTCTGTAGGTTACAAAGTAGTTTGCCAACTGGAGACCAAATGTCAAGAGCAAATTTCAAACTCTCTCATAGTTATAGAAGAAATAAACGCCCATGCTGAAAAAAGGGGCTGAAAAAAGGGGTTCACTTAACTCCAAGGTATTTATTAACAAAACTGAAATAAAAACCACAGAATTTAGATGTGCTTTAGCATCTGCAACCACAAAGAGAAGCTCTAAACTTTATATATGGAAGTACAGATATTCTAACATTGTCCATGGAATTTTGTGATTATTGTAATGATTGTGGTCAGTTTAAAATTCCTTTTAGCTTTTTTCCCTAGCAAATTGTTAAATAAAACCACAAAGGCAGAAAAAAGGCCTTAATTTCACTGAACACAAACCCAACCAATAAGTAAAAAACTTTGCAATGTAGGAACCAATTCAAGCCCCAACAGCCAAAGCAGAAAACCATTTGACTAGATTGTGATCACTAAAATTTTTATGACCGAGAAGATAAATATCTATCAGCTTCTCATCCCATAAAAGCACATGATTTTGCATAAACAAAAGTCTAAAGGTGAAAGCAATCAGTGAGGGAAAGAAGTGTTTGTGCACTACCTAGTATAGTGCAAAAAGAGCATGTACCCATATCACTAACCTGAATGCAAGATAATGATATAGAAGGGTCACAGAAAATGAGATTAAAAAAAAATATGTAGTACATGTATGGCCAAGACCTAAAGGAATCACAAATTAAAACATTATTGATAAAAGCAAGTGGATTGTACAAAAAAGTAACAAATAATACCTCTACAGGTGTTAAAGGACATTTCCCATTGACTCTGATTGATCCAGGACGGATAACCCTACCAGGTTTCGTAAATTTTCCCTTCCAACCTCTCTCCCTTGCAGCCTCCATGTCCTTTTTTTCTTTCTCTCCTCCATCATATATACAGCAAGAGAAAGCAACCATATCCTGCACAAGAATATGATCAAACCCTTGCTCGAGATTTTCATTAATCTCACTAATGTATACAATATGGAATTTAATTAAAATAGAGTGCTTCCAATTCACTGACAACTGACCTCCTCAAAGCGAAGATGCACTGAAATGTACTTGCCGCTATTATTTGAACTTCGTTCTTTCATTCTTGCTACCAAAGTATCACCCATAGTTAAAAGGGGGCTTGAGAAACGTAAAGCTTCATAATTTGCTAAGCACCTTAGCCGTTGAACGACTGGAGGAGCATCAAATGACAATCGGTTTGCAAAAGGAGAAAATCGTATGACCCTGAGTCAAACACTTACAAAAAAAATATCAATAAAAAAAGTGAATGGTGAACATAGTTAAAAATAAGAACAAATTATCTCCCGCCTCACCCACACACATAGAAGAGAGATAACAAAACCGTTAGCCACCATATTTTCCAAAAAGAAATTGTTAGCCACCATGAACAAATTCACATTTGAAATATTGTTGTTGTCCACTAGCATTCTAAGAAGCACAAACATTGACACTAGAGACAAATACGATATGGACACGCAGACACAATATTTCTCCAAAAAGTAGGATACGAACACGCTAAGGACACACTACAAAAATCATATTTTATATATAACATTATATAATTTATCGCAAATATAGTGATAATGATATACAATTTATAAAAAATTCAGTATTTTATGATAAATAAATCATAAGTGTAGTCATCTGTGTGAATTTTTAGACTAAAGCATCATCATAATAGTCAATAATCATCAATTTTTTTGTAAACAATGTGTACCTAATATGTAATTTAAATAATTGTTCTCATTTTCTCAATTCCTATTTTTTTAAACTTTTATGCATCTTTTGTTTTTATTATTATATTTGGAGTACAACTTTAAAATGTCTAGTGTCAGTAATTATATATTCTCAAATTTTTAAACATTGTTAATCACATTTCAACACATGTTTATTATTTAGTAATAGACACGTTCTAAAGATGTGTCGGACATGTGTCTGAAATTAAAATTTTTTATTTAATTATGGACACAGATAAAAAAGTATCGGACACATGTCTAAGAGTGTTCAAAGAGTGTCGATGTCTAACACGTGTCCAACACGGATACGTCACCTTCTCAAGAATGTTTATGCTTCATAGCTAGCAATGAGAAATGTAAATGAATAAACTTTTACTAGTTTGTTTTTTTCCAATTTACCGCATCAGCTCATCATGTCAATTTGGTCATTTAGTAATAGTCAAACCCAACCTAACTAGTTTAACTGATTGTGTAAGATAATCTCATAACCAAACTTGCCCATAATAAACTAAAAATCCCTTCAGTTCAGATACTAGCAAAATCAAGTAAAATTTTTTTTTAATCCCATAAGAATTTATACAATATCAAATAAAGAAATGGAGAAAAAAAAAGAAACCTAGACTTTTCTTCACATAATGCCCGCTACACCGGTGTGTCATGTCAAATAAGACTATTCATATTGAACACCACCCCACCTAATTATTATCATGTTAGCAGGAAGTGTAATTTCTACGGGACCACTAGAAATTGTCACTCCACCCACAACAATAAATCGTCCAAACTTCGATCAGAATGATAGATAAAGAGGGAATGTACTCTATATCATGCAATTTCCGATGTATTTTAGACAAAAAGAAGCTAAAATGATAACCTGATTCAAATTCAAAGTCATACCACAGTTTTGATTTCCAGGAGAGGACTCCACTTTGTACTGCCAGAAGTGTGAAAGAAGATTATACTAGACACAAACCACATAGTTTTCATTTACACTTTGTCAAGGTATACATAAACTTCCATATGACCACAGTCAATCTACCACCAAGCATTATAATGACCACAGTCAATCTAACACCAAGCATTATAATGACCAGTCAGTCAACCACCACAAATTAGAACATGTCAAAAGTATTTAAGCCCAGCATTGGGAGAACAACGGGGAGTGACTACTTATCCCCATTCCTCTTCCAAAGAAAGGGAAAAGGGGGCAAAGAAGAAAATAAAAAGACAAATGAGCATCCACTAGCACGGCAGAATATGGATGGAAAAATTAGGCTAACTATCAAGCATATGAAGTCAAGCAAGCACAAGCTTACGGATAATGAAAATGTAGGGTATTCCTTCATTTCCTTATCTTCTGAGGGTGGCCATGAGAGATGAGATAGCATCCTTTAGTTTTAAATTTAGAAAAAGAAAAATTAATCTTCAAGATAGTCTTATTCCTAACATGATTCCCAATAAAATGCAACACATACTTCATTTGTACCTTTCTACTATGTTATATAATTAATGGAACCAATATTGCATGCAGTCAGGAATGCATCCTTTAGTTTTAAATTTAGAAAAAGAAAAATTAATCTTCAAGATAGTCTTATTCCTAACATGATTCCCAATAAAATGCAACACATACTTCATTTGTACCTTTCTACTATGTTATATAATTAATGGAACCAATATTGCATGCAGTCAGGAATGCATCCTTTAGTTTTAAATTTAGAAAAAGAAAAATTAATCTTCAAGATAGTCTTATTCCAAACATGATTCCCAATAAAATGCAACACATACTTCATTTGTACCTTTCTACTATGTTATATAATTAATGGAACCAATATTGCATGCAGTCAGGAATGCTTATACAATATCACTAAACTCCAGCAAATCCCGTACCGATTATTTGGTTGCTTCCAAAACTCAGAATGGCAAACATGTTCTCTGAAGCAATGAAGATATTGGGGGATAATCGCCAACAAAGTTGACACCTCAAAACAAGAAGCATACCCACATAAATACAGTATCTAACTTGCTTTACCATAATAACATGAATGCACAACAGAGGAGTTAAGCAAATAGAGAATAAACAGAATCGCAAAAAGGTGACATGGGAAAATACAGAATGTATAGTAACTCACTTTTCTTCAAGTAGCTTCGGAAGAACCGTATCCCTGTAGAATTGGATGGATGCCCAAGCTTTTACTCGAAAGTTGTATACATTACTCACATTAAAGTCAAAACGTTCCATTATATACTCAGGGATCTTGTCAACCACCCACACATAATTTTTCAAGGATCTAACAAAATAATCATCATCATAAATATCTCCGAATTTGCTGCACAAATGTATTCCCCCGGTCAAACATTTATACTAAATGAATTCGAGATAAATTAGTCTGTTAAATGTTGGACTGCTAATTGACAACTAATCAAACAGAAAAATTCTACAATAATGTCGATGGCACTTTTCTTAAACATTGTAAATTTCTGACACACCATCCATTAGGGTGGATATGAAAAACTACATTTTCCCTAATATCTATTTCTATGAACAACTGCAAAGTTAGGCGGCTAATCTCTATAAGCAATATGGCAAGGTACATACAAACGTGCCAACAAACCTAGGATCTCTCCAAATGCTATGATAATGAAAATGGGGAATTACAAGCGTTGCATTCAGATAACCCGCAACAGCAACCGCATTGCATATCTGCACACATATATATCAGTCAACTAGAATATAAGTTACTAAAGCTGTTAATCTCAACCTTATATTTTTAAATAAAAAAGAAAGGGTGAAGAAGCATAAAAACTACCGATGTCCTCTGCTGATTCAAGCCACCATTTGCCTCAACAAGTATATACCCATTTGACTCGGGTAGGCCTATAACAAATAAGCACACCTTATTAGATCTTGAACAAAATATGACTGCAGAAAACACATATGCCCATAGAGGTATATTTATACATGCATAAAAATACATGGACATGTATTATGCTGGAAGGGACACCACAAATATGCTGTGTTAGCTTACATAGGCATGCACCAAAAAACCATCAACATTTGGGTGGATTGAGTTGCCAGACAATGTTACCAGCTAACATGAAACTTCTTGTGGCCAACAGCATAATGAGAGCGACGGTGAGACTAAGGCTAAAACACAATGGATGTGGATTGGATAATGTCTGAAGTGGACATATTACATTGTCCTCTGTCTCTCCTTCCTTCCTTCTTTTCTTTCTAAAAAAAGAATATTATTAACGTGACTGGAAAGATAAAAGTACATGGGAGAACAAGGAGTCCTCCTTAGCTACATGAAGAAAAGAAAAGAAAATCCGAAACAAAAGAGAAACAAAGTGATGAAGATTTTGTGTGTCATCACTATTCACACAATTCCCAATGATCTTTAATTACAAGTAATAAAATCGCTTTGAAATCGTTGGATGTCAATACCCAAAGAGATGCCATAAAAGGATTTTCTCCATAGTTCTTCCTGAGTAGCCTTCTTATCCTCAAAAATTCGCACATTTCTTTCTAAATTCTAACCCAACCAGCCAAAATAAAGCCAACACCACACATCTCCAAAGAGTCTTAGCTTTAGGACATGAACCAAACCAAAGGAATCCAGGCAATATCCAAGAGTCTATTCCACAACTACAGGACAAAGGTACACAGAAGTAACAAATGATTTGTACGTTCACCATCCAGACTGAAGATAAGATAACAGCCTTCTTTTTCGGAGCATTCCATTAGTATTAAGTTTCCTATGAAACATCAACCACACAAAAACTTGTACCATGAAAGGTGTCTTACACTTCCAAACCAAAGAATGGAAAAAATAGTTTATCAATCAAAGATTCAAGAATAATTTGCAATAATATCCAAAAGGGATGACAATTCATCCACTTCCCTATCTCTCAAATTTCCAAAGAGATTGAAGTCCAAATTAGTAGTAAAAGAGGACGAGGAGACCATGATAGCAATGGATGTATTATGAGATCTAGATAACAAATATAAGTGAGGAAGCAAAAGACCAAATTCTTCCCAAAAGGAATCTTTTCCCCACTACCCGCAACATATTTCAGATTTTGAAAGAAATAGAGTAATCCTTGATAAGTAAATTTCTAAAGACACGAAAGCAACCTCTCTCACTCAGATTAAAATCCCACCTATTATCTTGAATCCCAAATTGCTCTTGATTACTAATACTGTAAACTATTATGCTTTATAAGGAATCTCCAATTACCAAGTAAAGAGATATTTCTAGCTTTTAGGTTACCCAATACAGAACTTCCCTTAAATTTAGATTGAGACATCACATCCCAACAAACTAAATGATCTTTTTTCCCTTCACTACTATCTTCTCGTAGAAAATATTTCATCATTTTTTTTTATCATTTTCACAACATTTGAGATTGAAAGCATCCTAAACAAGGACATGTAATAAATGGAATGCTATCAAGCACAAAATGAGTTATAGCAAGTCTACCCCTTGGCAAATAAGTTTTTTCCCACCCATCAAGCCTTTTCCCAATCTTATGAATCATTGGCTCTAAAAAACTAAGGGCTTTTGGATTTCCGTTCCTTCTACTTCCTCCTCCTTCTACCTTCTTCTATTATTTGCTTCCACCACTACCATATTCAAACTCATCGTCAGACTTAACTACCATACTACAATTGTTGCCATCATCATTGTCAACATTGGAGGCAATCAAATCTTCACCATCATCACGACTAAATTTCAGTAACACCACATGACGATCTTGAACTTTGCTGAAAAACATCACACAACATGAGAATCATCCCACTTCATCGACTCTAAAACTATTTGTTTTTGTGCAACCACACCAAGAATTCCTAAAACCATCTTCCATGGCCTTTATAAACAGATTTAGCTTCCCAGACACTAAAAAAATACATGTTGATTATAGTTTATAGCCTTTGAAATTTCATTTTTCTATTGAATTCAAGGGTTTGACTATTTCAAAATAGATGGACCTACCAGTAACTTTCTGGTCATATCTTACACACTTTGGTTTTTTTGATGAAATTAAATTCATCGGAAAATAGAATTATTAATCTTTCTAACCAAAGGTAGAGGGCTCAAACTAAATTCCCATGGACAAAGTTACAATTATCTTCTTAGTGTGGCAGTGTTGAATGTGATATTGTCTTTGAGCTAGGGTTGCATTTTTTTTTTTTATATATATATATAAGCATTCAAATGTTTAAAAGCTAATCTAGCGATGAGAGTTGATTGTACATAGCGCCAAGCCGCCAACATTGCAAATTGTCATGAATCATCATCAACAAGCCATCACCTCTTTCAACGTTATAGTTTAGTGTCATCGTCATAATCATAATTTGTGTGCTACAGTCTTTATCATCGCTTTATCAAAACACATTGCGTAGTTATTGGTGGTTCTTTGAGAGGAGAAGAACTAGAGCTCTGATATATGAGGCATAAACAAGAAGAACAAGAAATTTAAGTGTCCTTTTTGCATGCCATATTATGCTTACCTAATCGCTAATACAATCTTTATCCTAAAGTAGATTGTCGAGCATCTTCACCATCTTGGTAAAGTACGTATTCTTTTGCAAACTTCGAGTCATACCAATAAGAAAAGATTAAATTGCAGGTTGATTTTCCTTCTTTTCCCTTGTATCTAGAACCGGTACCTTCTATCTAGCACTCTAGATTTTTTTTTTTTTATTTTGTTTTTTGGGGAGGGGGGTTTTCAATATACCATACACGGACGTCAAACTCTCACAAATATTAGTACACCCACTAATATATTTGATTTTATTTTTCATGCTCTTGACTTCTCTTGACTGTGCAACACAGCTTCCCAAACAGCTAAAAATAGTTAATTCTAATTCCAATGTGACCAAAGAATTCCATATTCTGCATCATTAAATCCTATGTGATGAGACATTTCTAATTTCTTTCAATACTTAGTCAAGGAGGTTGACAAGGACAATAATGAACATTTCATCATATAAAAGGAAAATGTATGTAATCATATAATAGAAAAAAAATTCCATAAAAAACAACAAAACATTGGAGATAAGGGCACATCTAACATCATATGGCCAAAGCTCCCTATAACAGTCAGATCCAATTGAGCCTAAACATGCATCATTTATGTGCAATCCACATTATTCATTAGAAAACAATTGACCAACCATGTGACTAGAAACTAAAGCACAAGAAACATCATGAATGGCTTCGGTTATATTTCATACCTCCTGAAAACTTGTTTGTACATGGTCTCCAATGACCCCCTTTATAAGAGTGTTTCCATACGGTTGATATCTACAATCAATTTGATGCCTTGAGTCAACAGCAGTTAGCAGATAAGAAAACATGTAATCAAAAATTCTTGTCTCTGGTAATAAGAAAACTGATGTTACTCAAATTGTACTGGCATCTCATTATTTACTTTGTAAATAATTGGGCGTACTGAATGAGTGATAATATAAATTAGCAAATTGTTCGCAAAATGAGTTCTAAAGTCCAGAGAAGAATTATGATCACGTTCTTCATAAAGATGGTTGTTTCATCAACTTGTAATGAAGGATATGCTCTTTTATCAACTCAAAATACCAATATCTAGATCAAGACACAAAAATGCGCACAAAATATTAAAAATATTGTAATAAATATTTGTCCTCAATCACCATGACACCTTAACTGTCCCTCAACCCCCCAATTTGCTTATCCATATAGCAACCAAATTTCCAATTTCCAAGTGAATTATGTGAACTATTCTAAAGTCCACCTATAATGTCACCAATTATGTCTTTGATTTTCGCTCCAATGAGAAACATTATAGCAAATCCAAATAATTCATTAATTTGAATGCAACTATATATCTCTCTCACAAAAACAAACTATCGCCACATTAATATGATCTCCGTTCATCAAATTAGCATCCATGTAACAAACTCAGCCAATATCGTATTAAAGTATAATTATCAAAACAATTTCCATAGTCTTTTCATCTCTATTATCATAATGTCATTTTACCCCCAAGATGTTTATTCAAATTTCAAGGTCAATCAAATGTTCTAAAAACCATCAGAGGGCACTATCTTTGTTCTACTCAACTCCAAGATCTACATTGCACTTGAATGAGAACCATCCATCACAGGCGAAGATGTAAACATATGCACCAGCAAAGTGTTAGAAGATCCATACAAATTCTTTCAAGCACTTGCCCACACAGCCACACTTATATAGGAATTGCCAACCAGCCATCAACTCTTTCAAACAGTGCTGTTATATTTGACTAGTACAATCACCAAGAGATAAAGGAATTGGCTAAAACCAAGCAATCCAAAACTAAATGCTCACCTTTCCACCACCAAAATCAATTGCTCGCTCTCAAAAACTCTGTACCCAAAAATTCTAGTTAAATCATCCAGATTCCAGTGTTATTCTTACTATTCTTACACCGAATATGTGAACATGAGATAAAAGCAACTAATAAGCAATTAAGGCCTGGCCACTGTCCCCACTGTCCAACCAAAACATCAACATTAGTGTCAAAATACAATTTGTTGAAGTTACCTAAATCAAATGATCTGAGTATATCAACTAACCCGAATGAGAGCTAGAGAGAGAAAGAGAAAGGAACGAATTATATCGGGGCAAGAGAAAGAAAAGTAAGGACTCTAGTTTGTTGGGGCCAAAAGGAAAAAACAAAGAAGTCAACTTTTATGAGAGAGGGAGAGATCCGTCTACTTCATTTCTCTCTCTTCAATTCATGTTCAATCTTTTTCAAATTCTCGAAATTCTAATTAAGTCAGAGCAAGTAAATTCAGGTATTCAAGGCCCAGATTGGTTCTCGAGAGAATTCAATGAAATTGAAACGAAAATCGCCAAATAGGAAATTGGTTGCACACAAATTCCAACAGTGCAAAATTCAAAATATGGATTGTCAACGTCTCTTTCAATCCAAATCACACTTCCAATTCTTCAATCAAATCAAAACCTAATACAATAGAGCAAAACCAAATCACTGACCGCATCGGCAGACGAGTTAGCCGAATCCATCTCGGGCCGGAGCTTCGAGTAAAGCTGAGGACTCCGATAAACTGACCCCGGAGCCGGACGGTGAGTAATGATCGGCACCACATCAAACGACATCGTTCCCATGTAGAACAGCATTCCGGAGATGTACAAAAGCGGAGCAAAGAGAAATATGCCTTGTCTTCGGAGGAGGACAGATAATAGGACCCAAGCGACGCGTTGGGCTAGGCTTTTGGGGGCCGGACCGGGAGTGAACCGGCCAGCTTTAGACCGGCCGTGGCGGAGCCTGGGAGACAGGAGCGGCGACGGCGGTGATGACGGGCTGTTATGTCCACTGCTCGGTAGCCGATTGTACGCGTGCATTGCAAATCTCACCTTACATTACACACCCAAAAATTTCGTACACCCTCTCTCTTTCTCTCCCTAAAATTGATAGAGAGAAGAGAAGAGGTGTGGATTCTAACAGGTTTGGAATTGGAAGTAGAAAACGAATCGTCTGGAGCGAATGGCGCGTGGAATTTTTGGATCAGTGAAAGGAGGGAAGGAGCATGATGGTGGCCGGTGGCGTGTTTGCTGATTTGCGATGTGTTTGGATACGAGAGTGATGTTGTTCCAAAACAAGATCAAAATCATATTAATCTACCGATCCAGATCAACTCTAATCCCTTATTAAAAAATGATAAATGACAATTCATACTTTAAAAAATTTTAAAATAAATTTGTACACTTCAAACTTAATTATTTCAAATTCCACCCTTAATCATATTAATTAGTAGCAAATATGACTCAAACTCCCGTCAACTTAACTTTAATTAGAATTGGACCAAAAAAAAAACTTTAATTAGAAGATAAATGTAGAGCTTTAATCAAAAATAACATCGCCACCCCTATGTGGTTATCAAACAACGCAGTTTATTGTTTATTTTTATTGGTGTTGTAGTGACAAGTTATCATTCTGGATTAGTACTTATAGTTTAAATCAAACATTCTACAGTGAGGAACCCTCATAATCACTTGTCAAGGAATTATTACATATTAATCACCCTTACGCCCTTTTAAACCAGCAAAAAAAAGTACTAAATTGATTTGGCTAAGATTTTTTTTTCTTTTTTTCAACGATCAAGGGTATTTGGATCAACTTACGTATATTTTAATTAATCTAATTTTTAATCCAATTAAAAACAAATCATACATGCCAAAAATAAGGGTCATGTGTTGGTTAGCTTTCCGGAAATTATTTTTTTTTCTCAAAATTTTAAAAACACCCAAAACCTATTTATTTAGCATTTTTTTCCTCAAAATTTTGAAAAAAAATGAGATTTAAGTTAAAAAAACAGAAAGCAAGTTTAGCTTGTTTTTAAAGTATTCTTTGAAATTTTAAAAATAAGGAGAACAATTTTGAACTTTAATGAGATCTACCCTTCGTGTCTCCTTAATAGTAAATTTCTTTATTATTATTTTTTTTTTACTTCTTCCTCTATCTCATAATATTATATATTATATTACATAATATATATTAATATATAACATATAGTATATTATATAATATAATATAATATTATATTATAATATGTATATATGAATATATAATATATATTCATATAAGTATATATATATACTTATATGTATATATGAATATAATATATATATATATATGTATATATATATATAAATAAATTTTTTATATTTTTTTATTAATGTTTGAATTACTGTTCAAATATATATTTAGACTGTTCAAACAGGTTTTACTATTTTTTGTATTATAAAATTATTTTTGAAATCATCTAACCAAACAAGTTTTTTATCTTGAAAAATATCAAAATCACTTTCCTAAAACTCTTCTCAAAAATTATTTTTAGATACTAATTTTTGAAATGCAAACCAAACATGCCCAAGATGTTCGATACTTCGATAGCGATTTTGATTCGGGTTTTTGTGCCCAAGAATCACGTGCAATTAGCAAATTTTCAACCTCGGCCCGACCATAGTTTGTAGGGCCCATGTTGTACTCTTCAACCCGGCCCAATTAAGTTGTGCTCAAAAACATAAACCCTAAAACCCTGTGAGCCTAGAACCTTCTACCACTATCTTAAAGCCCCTTCTTGATTTAAACCACACAGCACAAGCACTCTGCGCTCAGAATCTAGTTTTCGTAGCCGTAACATAGAGAAAAAGCTAATGGCAAAGCGTTTGATTCCGACCTTGAATAGGGTTCTGGTGGAGAAGATTGTGCCTCCAACCAAAACCCCAGCTGGTATTCTTCTTCCTGAGAAATCTACCAAGGTAATATCATGTTCTCCCTCCCTCTCTCTCTCCCTCCAAATCAACTGTTTTGGTTATATAATGTGTTGGTATTGATGGGTTTTATCTGGGCTTTGGTTTATTTTTTGGGTGGTATTGAATCCAGTTGAATTCAGGGAAAGTTGTGGCTGTGGGGCCTGGATCGTATGATAAAGCTGGAAATGTGATACCAGTGGGTGTTAAGGAAGGTGACAATGTTCTCTTGCCTGAATATGGTGGCACCCAAGTTTTCCTTGGCGACAAAGAGTATGTGTCCGCTCTCTCTCTCTCTCTCTCTCTCTCTCTCACACACACACACACAGACACTACATTTGTGACTGTGTGTGAATCTGATATTCTGAAGAATCTATATGGATGTTATGTTACCTGCCCTGCTTTTTGGTTTGTTATATATATGGTGATTCATCTATTGATCTTTATTTGTCCTACTTTCTTTTTTGTGTTGTTGGGATTCACAGCTCTCTCTCTCTCACACAAATGATGTGTGTGTGTGTGTGTGTGTGTGTATGAATCTCACATGCTGAAGAATTTATATGGGTTTTTTCTGTCTTGTGTTTTGGTTTGACATGTATATAGTGATTCATTTATTGATTTTTGTTTTGTACATTCTTTTTTGGGTTATGCATTAATTCACTAGTATTCCTCCTATTTGTGCAGGTACCATTTGTTCAGGGATGAGGATATATTGGGCACTCTGCATGATTGAGATTATGATCAAGGTGGTAGTGGAGTTTTCTCTTGGAGGCTTTAATTTAGATTCTTGGGTTCAAATATCGCAAATGAAACTAGTTAGTGTTGGTACTGTTGCAAAATGTATGTTAACATTGTTTTGGAACATGACTTTGAGTGATTAAGAACGTCTCATTTCCACTTTTCAATGCTTGATCCATATAATATGGTGTCGGGTCTAAGGATGTATAGTTGTATTATCATCCACAATTGATGTGAATAGCTCGCAAAGGACATGAAATGTATACAAACAGCTGAACAAAAAAAATTGAATTTTGATTTGATTTTGAGGTTGCTCATGTAAAACAAAACCAAAATGACCCTTAAATAATGGTTCTAATACCGAACAGGAGTTAGTGAGACCACACAAAATAAGTTTCTTCTAATACTTATACCATCTAAATCCACACACACTTGACCTTGCAGAACAACCATGGTTCATTTGACCGGAATATGTGATTGCAAATCTACTTTTAACTCTAACTACAGAGCACACACTTTAAAATCAACTTAATAACTATAAAAAGCATTTGGAACAAATGTCATAATGTTCAAACTCATTACAACATGAGAACCATCGTCAAACCAGCCGGGAAGCTCAAGAACACTAACATAAAAACCACATCCAGCACATAAAGTCTCTGCATAAATAGCTTCAACTTCATAGAGCATGTATATATAATCAAAGCAAGTAAACTTCCTCTTCAGAAAGAATGACCATAGTTGTTCTCCACAAAACCACAACCAATTTTGAAATTCCTAAAATGCTGTGTGGTATATGGATCCGCAGGGTCTTCGTTCAGCTCACGATCAACTTTGATGCAATAGCAAAAACACAAGTAAAAGCAAACTTCACATGGTCTCCTATGAGCACATAGTAGAGCTTTAGGTAAAGACTGAAGTCTCCCTCGATCTTCATGGTTAGTAATTGCTTCCCTCCAACTGGTCCATCATAATAGCCCACATGCATCACCGCATTAAGCGTGTTAGTCGTTAGCTTGGATAAGAAATCTCCTAATATTCAAAAAAACAGAAAGAGGTCAAGGCTGCTATGGTAAACAATCTGTACAAAAAGAAAAAATTCAGGTGTGAACCTCATAAAACTCCGTAAAAACTTTTCGGGCAACAAGAGAAGTAGGAACACAACAGCACTCACACCCAGGTGCAGGCCTTTTGCTCCATCCTTCTGCACCAGAGCTGGAAAAGTTATTGATTGCTAGTCCGAATCTTCATAAGTTTCTCCATCATCAGAAAGGTCGTCAAATGCTCGCATATCAAGCTGGTAACGAAGGATTCCTCCAATTCCCCCAAAACCTCTGCAAAACTGAGATCCCTCTTGCGATTTGTTGGTGACAAACTCTAGCGTGCAACCAAATCGTTTGTACTCATTGGCAAACCACTCAAGCAGTGACGTCTTCTCCTCAACTTCCAAATCAGCATTAGTGTCTGCATCCCGGAAGTTTTTCTCAATGGCTTCTTGCTCCTTGTTAAAGTGCTTTATGATAACTTCACCCGTACTGCTATTTTTTAGCACATACCTATTTACATCCAGATTTTCCCACACAATAAGTATCTCAACCGCACCCATCTCCAGAGCTTTCAATGTGTCATCCACACCAAAAACATACTTTCCAGTATCCTGGCTAATCTCTTCAAAATACTTGCCTATCAATTTCTTCTCCTGAATAAACTTCACATTGGATAGGATCTCTGCTGACAACTCAATCGCCTGATTAAAACCATTTTCCCCTCCATATGAGACATCCACAACATTCAGAATTTTTGCCTGAAGTCGGGGATCAAACATATCAGACTGACTCAGCTCAGTCTTGAAGTCAGCTGATCCCGCAAGTATTAGTCCAGAAACGTTAGGCTGGCTGGTGGCAGGATTAATGAAAAACTGTGTAGCAAGCTCCGCTGTCTTTCTCACATAGTTGTGGCGCTTCTCCATTCGAAGACGAGCAAACCGGAGAGCTGACTGCCCCCCTCTTCCATGTTTCTTAGGGAGGTCAACAGTAAATTTGTGAAGCACTTCTCGAGTGTTGCCACTTAATGTCCCAAAAAGAGTCCCATTTCCATCCATCACAATAAAACCAAATTTGTCGTCAGATTCTAGAAGTTCATTCAAAGCTTCTGTATGAAACTTGTTGTCACATAGGTAAAGAGATGCATTTATTGGCCTGAAAGGCTCAAAATCAATTGTGACCTTTTTTTCCTTCCCATCATCAGTTACAATGGTACCAGTATAAAGCACAAGTCCATTGGGGGGGACCTTATTGTAGAGCTTCAGTCTCTGCTGAGCAGATGTAATTGCACCTAAAACAGACTGACGATTCACCCTGCTTTTAATGTTAGAGGCAGTTCCAAACTCATCTCCCAACATCTTTGTAACCCGAGCTATTTGATCTTTTGGAGGCATAATAAGAGAAATCATGCTGGTACCATTGCCTCGAGCAGCTTCCAATGCCTTGATAAGCTTCTTGATCTTCCATATCTCAATGTTCTTATCGGTTTCATGAGCATCCGCCATTGTAGAGAATTAGAACTGCCGAAATAATAAGAAAATGTTATTAACTAGCATATGGTTAAAATAAAACATTTAAAAAAAAAAACACACGGCAATAGGAAAATACATACCAAAAAAAAAAAGGGAAAGAAAAAACAGTAGGCAAAGTAACAAAAAAAGGGTGACATTTACAACTGTGAACTACCAAAAAAAAAAAAGCATTGCTGCAGCGTCAAGGGCATGAGTTAAAATAAAAGATATCAACTAAAGCAATAGGATTGTTCTCCCCCTCAAAAAAAAAAAAAGAAGAAATGAAAGAAAAATATAAGGGTGCTGAAGTCAAAAATCATATTGACACAATACTTCATGCAGTCAAAAAGTCCGGAAAGGGCATCTTCTATCTAATTGTTTTCCAGGTTAATAAATTAGATATATGCCACTTGCAGTTTTCAAGCAGAAGCAAAACACTAGACAGATTTCACCCTCCTTCAAAGCTAAAGGATGCCAAGCTTTGAAATGTCTCACTTGTACTAAGAAATTGTTTTTGCACTACATAACATACTTAGGTCTTGAAAATTTCAAGTTTTACGAAAGAAAATAAAAAAACAAAAAAAAAAAAAACAGCCAAATATGGTGTACTTTTCTTATTCAACCCTTAGTCTACATAACACATCAAAGTCCAAGAGGCAATCAATAATCCATTTCCCTCTTCTTTTAATCAATAATCCATTTCCCTCACCAAAGATGATTTGTAATTGTTGTGTAGCTATTATGATGGGACTAAACTTTCGCTGTCAATCACGTTCTTGTAGAATTCTGTTGATTCCAAACAAGTTTTGGTGCAGAAGGAATAGGAGGAGAGAACCAGAAACTAGAAGAGGAAAAAAGAGATTTGCACAACCCTTGAAATTCGATAGTGTTAGATCAAGAAACACACAAATAATCAACCAAATTCTTACGGACTTCACTCTCCCTTGATAAAAAGGTTACTTAAATATTTATAATATAGTATCCCAGCAGAACCTAATTACTTCACTGAAAAGAATCAATACCAAGATTACTAACACACTCCTAATCAAATAAAAAATCCCAAATTAAATCATCTAACTAATAATAACAAAATAAATCTAATAGAACTACCACCAAATATACTAGAACCTGTTGCAAATGCTAAAGGCCTGCAATATCACTTGAGAGCATAACTTAGTTAATTTCAACTCAATAGGGGTGTTTCTATTACAACACAAAACTTACGGGGGTTTATGCTTTATACAAGACTAACAGGGATTCATATCATTTTTTAAGCATCAAGGGATTTCCATATAGTTAGTGAGGACGATGATTCTGTAAAAACATACAAAACTCAAGGGATCTCTATATCATTACTGAAATGTTATGGGTCCTCGGTGGAATCAATGTACACCCAGAAACATGCACTGTACATGTGATGTAATAACTTCTCTGAGTGGATGGGGATTAAGAACTCTTGATGTGTGACACATCATTTTCTTGGGTGAGACCTAAGAAGCTACATGTCACTCTTAAGTCTTCTTCCTTCCCCCTTCTCCTACTATTCGATCTCAACTCCCATATATTGCAACCTAACCTACAAACTCAGAGCTGAAATTCCCTCCCCCAACCCTAGAAGCTTCATCAGGTCCAACTCCTTCCTTTACTCAAGGTTCAGCCCCAACCGCCCAAATATGCAAGATACCGTCCAGGAAGACTGTTCACAATGCTGGAACAGCCAAAAAGTCACCGGACATTCCAAATCCTTACTTCCACTACCATATCGGCACTCATTAGTCCCAACCTGTTCCCATTCCCCACACACTACACTAAAGCTTTTTGCTAGAGCCCCCAAAACCTATATTTCCTACTCTGAATCTGTTCTAAATTTTATCGTTTTAGTCCTCAAATTAAAGATCCGGTACCAGCAAGCATGAACTTGGGCAAAGTTGGCACGTTTCATTAAAATAATGCCAATTCTTTACAAAATCACATACTTGGAAATTGGCATATTATAAATATGTGCAAAAACAGTGAGGACTTCCAACTATACTAACCAAAAGTCATTAGATTATACTACATTAGATGGTATTGAAAATTTTCGTCTCCGAGAACTTGCAAGTATCATCTAAATTTGAAAACACAATTCATGTTATCAAAACAATTCTATTAAAAGACCAATACACTTGATATACTTATCAATGTGCCAATGTATTCTAACAAAACACATATGGCACAATAATTGAAGCAGCCTCTTTTTGATAGGAAACTAATAGAAGCGGCCATTAATGTCCATATGGAGGCCGCATGACAAATAAGCAGGCATTGCAATTATAATATGGCCCAAGAAAATTACTCAACTCAAATAAGCCATGCATTAAGAACCATATATAAATAAATTCGTGACGCCTTGAACCTAGTTTTCAACCTAATGTGCACCTTTCCAATGATTCCTTGCCTATACGGTGAGGAACAAAACACCCCATCTATGCCTTTGATTTCATTGTGTTCACACCCACATTAAAATTTATGCTATGGTACACAGGGAATGAATAGAATGCCCTTTGCATCTTCTATTTCCTTTCTAGTATTTGGAAAACTAAAATAAAATGTCAATCCTCTTTCAACAGGAAGATCTTTCCCACTAGAAGTTAGAATAAGCAAAGTGAATGCATATTTAATCACTATTCTACCCTCACACGTACGCAACCTGATAATTGCTGAAGCCTGCTAGACTTGCAATATCCCATTCTTATGAATCTTCACACTCTCCCCTAGAAACTTTTAGCAGAAATTTTCGTAGCACATAGGGAGGAGAAAATTCAATGTGAACAAAGGCTAGTTTAGAGGCCAGAAAGAAACAAAGCCATAATGAGATGTCTCTTGGAATCATAGTTGTCAAATCGCGTATCGAAAGGCATATCGTTATTCAAAAATAGTGTATCGTGCATCGTAAGATACACGCAATTTAATTTTTAAATAATTATTAATATATATATATATATATATATCGTTGTAAAAAAAACATAGACTTATAATAATATAACATTTCATTAATATTCCACAAACTATTCAAGCTCCCAACATAGTTCAGTAATATCAAAATGCAAAAATCTCTAATTCAAACTTCTAACATCAACTGTTTGAACAACTTTAATATTAATCAAAAATTTTGAACTCAATTGAATAACATTAACAACATATTTTATTTTATGTTTTTAAACCACAACCACTAAATGACGTTGTTTCACTAGTTAGTAATTTAAAAATAAGTCTTAGGGTAAAACGATGTCATTTCAAACCCAAAAAATTAAAAAAAAAAAATAGAATCGTCACGTATTGTACGTATTGTATCATGTATCATACGATACAGTATAAAAACGATACAGAGACACGATATGTATCGTTTTTCAGGTGTATCTTGACGTATCGTACGATACTAATAACTATGCCTGAAATGGAATGCAAACGCATTCTATGTTTGCATTCCATGGCATTAACAAAACAAAAGCCAAAATGGAATGATTATTCCAAATCCGATGTGCGGTCAGACCATTGTTAGAGCCATAATAAAATGGGAATTCATTTTTTGACCAATATACACTTATTTTATAAGGAAACATAAAACATCAATATAATCCATTTGCTATTATCACATATCAAAATTTTAAATTCTGAACGACATGTAAAATGTGGCGAACTGTGCACAGTATAGAACTATATTCATGCCCTGGAACATAAAACAAAAATCCTTCAGCTACCTAATGGAACATTAATCACATAAATACAACCTTTTCAATTATATCTACATTCAATAAACACAACCAAACCACTTCAAGAAAAATGACAAAAAGGAAAATTCTTCACAGCTACTGTACACCACATATAATTTTTCTAAGACAAAATGGCTGACCAACCTCATGGAATTCGTCAACAAGCAATATTAGCTACAAGACAAGTGGAAACCACCACATCTATGAGGTATTCTTGTCAATTATATTTGAAAATGGCATCTAGGCTGTAGTTCAATTGTATTAGTTGTATGATGGTAGCACAGACATAAATCTAGCTTCAAGAAAGTCTGAAAAATGCAAGTGTTGTTCTTTCTGATTCTAAGGGAGCCTGACTAGAAACTCTAAAAGATCTAATCTTCACTCTAGAAGGGAAAAAAAAAATTTGTTGCTTCACATGCAGCATGGGTAACAAACATAAAAAAAAACAAGTTCAATTAGAATCAAGAGCAATTTTTGCAAAAATAAATACAAAATCAATAGGAGTTTTTCTTAATTGAAGAAGAAAAATAAAAAGAGACAATTTCTCCTAATGAACAGCAAAACCTAACGGATAAAAGTGCTGCAGCTACGGCAGACAACTTTCATGTTTCAGCTTACATTGCCACTATTGCAACATTCTCAGCCGGTTCACATTCTGAACCCAGAGTATTTACAGTCCCAATCACAACACTTGTGCTGCAACATGGAGTATGTTGGATTGCACACTTGCATTTCAACGTAACAAGCTCGATAAAGACCTCTGTGGAATATATATCATATATAATTGGAGCAGCTTGGCACATATTTGCCTTCCATAACTGTGAAAAGGCTAGTATATTATTCTTTCAAATGATATTTCTGTGAGATTCTTTTGCATCAACATCATTGGAATTCAACCAGTCCAAATGCTTACCATATCCTTGGTCAAAACCACAAAGATAATTAAATGGTCAATGTAAGCTTAATTATGTAGAACACTGATTAATTTTTATTCAGTCAACTTCAATCGTTCCTTTAGGTAAGTGAAATTAAACAACCTTATACGATTGGATTGCCTTAACTTTGTCATCAATCAAGAGTGACAAGTTTTCCTTGTAAAAGTCTATTTTCCAAACCAATTTAGAACAACTTAATGCAGAAACATCCCAAGTGTTGAGCATCAATTCCACAAACTAATGAGGACCCACACTGATTGGCTGGAACCTAGACATGGGATAAAGAAATTAATTCAGTCTCTTCCACAATTTGTGGCTTCCGGG